ACATCATCATTGTCATAGCCCATTCAAAATTAATTCTTTGCAAATTGCTTATAAACAAAATAACTGCAAAACAATAATGTGCCGATTATATGGGTCAATCTCAATAAAATTCGCTCGATAAACCCCGACGAGACGAAATTCGTGTCGGCGACAAAGTGAAGGGAGGTTTGTGTGTTGTTCGAAGCCGGAGCAAGCTGCGCCAACGATATCAATCATCCCGCGTGACCGAAAGCGAGACTTTCACCACGAACGACGACAACGAAGACGTCGATGCGGCCGGTCGTATAAAATCCTAACGGCGTATACGCTACGAAACTTTTCGATTTGACGACCGTCGAGAGTTCTTCCGTGCGATCACCTCGCGATCGCGCCACCCACGATCCATCATCGCGCTACCATCGCATCGGCCAAGGAGAAATCGCGCGGCGATTCAATGGTATCGTTGATCCGTTCCGCACGGCGGGGATCGGTAGCGCGCTCGATCCGGCCGATCGAACGTGCGCTCGATCAAGACGATCCCCGCTTGCGTCCCGCCTACGCACACGATCGACGCGATAGCGAGATGATGAAGAAATAAGCCGAGCGGAAGAAAACGCCGAGTTCGCATCGGTGCCGTCGACTTTTCGTAGATCATCGAATAAATTCAGAAATTTCAGAAGGCGATAAACATTTCACCATACTTTTAACTTATTCTCAAATTTTTACGCATAGTTAGTGATATAGCTGACAATTGATATTATATTATTGAATTATGCAACGTAGTAGTTTGAATACGTTTACGATATAACTGCATCATTTTTCGCGCTAACATTTAATATCAATTTATTTAATTGAAAGAACTTCGTGATGTATCTCGCTGAGATCTTGTCAGGAGAAAATGCAACGCGAAAGAGCGCGTTAAAAGCTACCACTGATGCGATGCGCCATATTTCTCAGGACGAATTTTATTGAGGAAGTTAGGCGGAGAGCTGGAGAAGGAGGAAGAGAGGAGGGCCGGGAAGTATTGAATTCATCGGTACGCATTGTCGACAAGATATACGAAGCTGGGGGTTACGGGTTAAGTGGGCCCTGTACCTCCGGTAAATAAGTCTCCCCGCTTTCGTACGCGTTTCGCGCGAGCGCGTGTGAGCGCGTCGCTGACCCATGCATGCATGCATGCTCCATGCATCCGTTGTCTCTCGCGTGCCTCCGAGAGTGCATACCGGCCACGATGCGCTCGCACAGGCCAACCGCGCTTTCTCAGGGCAATTTATAATCGTACGGGTTCAATGCGAGCCCGTGTGGGACGCCCGAGAACAAAGAGACACCCCGTAGTAGTAGACGCGCGGCGCGGCGCAACGCGGTGCGGTGCGGCGCTCACTCTCTCGGCGGTCTCTTCCTCCGGAGGATCCCGTCGGGAGTAACGGCGGAACGCCGCCTTCGCCAACATGTCGTTGATTAGTCGCTTGAGTACGCGCACGGAGTACTCGTTAGAGCGATTCTTCGGGATCCCCCGGACGTTGATACCACCCCCGGGACTTTTACTCTCCTGGCTGGCGCGCGGCGTCGCGCCCCTCGTCTCCAATTAAAACTTTACGACTCTCGCGGCGGGATGTTGAATAACTGAAATCGCGCGTGCGTCGCGTATGTCCCGGGGACGCATTCCGTGATTAATTTGTGTTTCACGCGTCATTATTATCTTTACGGTAATATTTGCGCGACAAACCCGGGGACCGGTTCATTAATCGCGCGACGACGATAAACTTCAGGGCTAATTGTAACTTTAGTTCTGCCATGCTTGGGCGAACGTGCCGACGTTCCTCGAGATTCATTCCTTAAGCTTCTCCTTCCGGTTCTGCGACGTAAGCTAGTGTCACGTCTATTATATCTATATTTTGCGCACACCAATTGTTTGCTGTAAAAGTGATCGAAAAGATATTTTCAATTTTTTGTCATTATCGAAAATGGTTTAAAGATACGAGATGCGTATGCGATTTCGATAGAGATTGCTGGAAAACCGGCGAGGATAAACGCTGCTGATTTCTGAGATCAGAGATCATACTCGATCCACGATGAGGCGATCCCGGGAACGATTCAGGGAAAAGGGATCTGCGCGTGGATATTGTTTGTACGTAACTTACATATACAGGAAGGAACAAGGTACAAAGCGGCGGTTCCACATGACCCACGACCTCGCCTCTAATGAGCGGCAAAGCTTGCGGCTATTGTAAGAGAATCTCCTCCTCCCGCGTCGTCTGAGGGCTTCTCTCCGTTTTCTTCGTGCTCTGCCCTCCACCCGAATCCTTTCTCCGGCCTGGCCGTGCTCTCGTACGTTTAACTCGAATACAATAAGGCAGAAGAAAATTCGATCCTCCCTGTGATTCTGCATGAAGGCGCATTTATCATAGCTTATACAATATGCTAACTTGCCCACGGCTACAAAAGAAGATAAAAAAATATTTTCCTGCAAGAATTGATATACAAACTGCGTTGGAATCTCCGTTATTTTAACAATAGATTTTATAATCAATTTATAATCGAGCTCCTTGTGCTAAAATCAGTGCATTATTTTAGGTTTTTTTATAAAAAACAGAACTAAGTTGTTGCCTGTCGATACTCTGCATTCAATAAAATGTTTTCGCTCGATTCGCGGTTACTTACATCAAATAGATTGGATGTTAAAGGATAATGTCTCCGAACCGCGATATTTTGCGCAGAATCTCCGCGAGCCGCGATGACCGCGTGGTCATCGCCAAGAGGAAGATCGGTGATTCCACGAAGCGATCGGCGAGAGGAAAAAAAAGGATGAAACGCAACGGGAGAGAGAGACGACCCGACCCGAGCGAACCCGCGAGCTCGCCGCACCGTTCTTGTCGAGCGAATCGACGGGCGCGGCGAAGGGGAACACCCTGTACATGCCGACGACATTCCCGAAGTGCAGCGCGCAGTTTTTCGCGGCTACCAGTGCAGCGAGTAGCCTGTGACGAGCGAACGAGTGACTCAGAGGCATCGAGGTAGACGCAAGGGCGAAACAACACGCACGTGCTCCCTCGCGTACGCGTCTCTACGTGCATCCATGTACACGTGTATACGCGCGCGCGCTCCGTTCGTGCGTGCGTTGTCGTACGCGCGTGTGCGCACGTACGCGCGCCTGCGGCCGGATCGCGCGGAGCGATCGCGGAGAGGAAAGGAAAAAGGGAGAAGCGCGAGATTTATTTGCCCGAATTTCGATGACCGCCACCGTTGGCCGCGCCGCTTCCGAAGAATGCATCTCGCATTCGGGATCTTTCGCGGAATATGTCTTACGGTGGATTCCCTCGAGAAGGTTCCCCTCGAGTGCTCGATCATCGCTTTTCCGAATTCGCTCCCGCCCGCCACATCTTCAATGTCCGCTTTGCTTAAAGAACGACGTCAAAGACGAGAGAAAATATTCCAAGAAAGAGTTTTCGCGACTTACATTTGAAAGTTATATGTATAATTGTGATACATTCTAGATTTAGAAACGTTTTAACCATCTTATTGACGCGCCCAGTTTTAGCCTGAAAATTTAATAATTAATTATTATCAGGAGACTCGTGGTCACTATCCCGAGCTGGATCGCAACGATATCCGATAAATCAATATCCGACCAACGATCGCAGACGTGCGTCTCACCGATGATATATCGTTTTGTCGTGGATTCTCTCGAATCGGCGCTATTAGGCCATCGACGTCGCCGATGCTTTTTGTGGGGGGAATCACGCGAGGTTCACCTCGCGTGTCCCATGTGTCCCGTAAACGATGGCGACTAGTACCGCGTTTAACTAATGTGTCGGACCGGTTAGGAGCGTATTGATCAGAGACCGAGGCTAGATTTATGTCGGCGAATGATTCACGGCATGTGATTTACAGCGGATTGTCCGATGCGCGCGCATACTGATTGAGCATTTATGCCGCTCTCCCGGCATCGTAATCATTTATTGGGTTAAGGTGAAATTCTCCTTCTTCCCTCCTATCGAAGGGTACATTCGGATTTATCTATACGGCTTCGTGGCTTAACGTTTCGATATGCAAATTCACAGAATGGAAGATTCATCTTTACGGAAAGAAATTAAAATTGATTTGACAGGAAATATCATGTCGAAATACCGCACAGATTTCGAAATAAACCTTGGGCTTTATGTTACTTTCCTCTCTACGTGACGTATTTACTTTTTACATTTCCTGAAATTTGATAAGTATAATTTATTGATGAAATTTTTCGCTCTTGCACAATCGTTACGGAATCGAGAAGTTACATACTCGATTCGCGGCGTTTATGTAAAACCATCAGGCACGGGCAGTCAGTATGCGGTTACGTTTTAGAAAGCGCGTTCACCCTAACGGCGTCGCAAAAATCGCGTTTCCGTCGCCGATCGGAGTATTCGAAAGTCCCTTGGGAGCAGCGCTTCTTGTTTTTCATCTCTCGCTCTCTTCGATCCTCGATTACGAAGGCAGGACACGCGTCTCGCGTAGAATGTCGCCGTAACGAAGGGGCCTCTTCTCTTTCTCTGTCTGTCTCTCGCTCTTGTTTCCTTCCGTGCGTCCTCACGAGGATGTGCTTCTCGAGACCGTCCTTTACCTCCTCAGCATCCCACCGGGTGATCCCTTGGTACCGATGAACGTTTAAATTAGGCAGAGAATCCTTCGGAATGCGCGAAAGAAACGACGAGACCGGCATTCCGCGAGGTTTTGATACGCCTTTGGGCGTATCACGCTCGTGGGGCACTATTAGCCCTTATGCGGCAGAGGAATGACTCTTAAGGGCCCGACCCGCGATCCTTCGCGCCGCGGCTTCGAAACTTACACATTTTAAATCCTGTCCAGTGACCAGCGACTTGTTCACGATGACATCACCGCTTTACTATATACATAATTATTTTTTTTTTTCTTTATATTTATACTTCGTCATGCTATTGTGCATTTAGATTTGTACTCAATTTTATAATGTATGCACTGTGTGACTTTAAATTAAAATAACTTTTTATTCCCTTTGGTTGCAGAGTCTGGCCACAGGTTGGACAGCGGCTCCCCGTTTTGGAGGATTCAACTTGACCAGGACCTTCTGGATACCATCAGCGCGATCTATCCAGAGTGGTTTAAGGTAAGGCCTATTTTACCCTTCCTTCACGCTGTACCAGAATCGACATACTCGTTGAACGAATGCGGGATAACGAGGTACGCTCCTCGTGCAGGATTACACTAACAGTCGAGCAGCGTCGACGTCGTCCCCCACGTCCTCAAGCGTTCCCGGCGCGCAATCCTGCAACGACAGCACCGCCGTGGTCGTCGTCACCGAACGCGGCGGTGAGCACAAGGTCGCCAAAGGCGACGCCAAGTCCAAGTCCAAGGCGAAAAAGGCGGACGGCTATAAGGATAAGGACCGGGACAGGAAGGACCCTAGGCGCGACGCCAAGGACGAGAGGTGAGATAATTTGCGTGTGCTGCGCCGTATGTAGATTACGCGATGTAGGAAGGCAAAAAGCGTGACTCGCCAGGCTGGAGGAGGCTCAAGTTATATCTACCGAATATTAATAAAACCTCGTGAAATAACGAAATGGAGGAGAATAATCTGAATCGCGTTATCACCTTCTACCAAGTTTCCACGCGAGTATAACCGGTATGCACGCATCCCGCGTACAAACAGAAGTAATAGACGAAGTATGGCGTGGTCCCGATCGCGCGCTGGACGTAAGGCAGGCCGTTATCGCGATCGAGAAATAGACACGTCGTCGCCTCGGCACCTGTCTCGATTATTTTAACAAGCTCCGCGGGCTCCTCCCCGACGCTTTGTCGCGCGTTGCCCGCGTCATTATCTCGGGAGACGTTATTTCTATTAGCTCGCGCCGACCTTGCAGAGACGCAGCAGGAGGAAGACAGCTTGCTAAGTAGCGGGTTATCGCACGAGTCCGGAAAATACCTGAGATCTCGCGAGACTCGCAGGAATTTTAAAACGCGGGCACTTCGATCTAATAATAATATTTTAATGATATTAGCACTTTGACTGCCGTGTCACCCATATTTAAGTACCTAACGCATGAGTTTCCGCAAGGTTTTTTATTTATTTGATTAAAAATAATTTTAGTATTTAAAATATTTTAGAAATTATTTAACAGTCAAAAGTAATATTTAATTGTAGTAATATTAAGCAAGAACTGCACAAAATGGTAACATCCCGACTTTTATTTAATTAGATAAAATATCTGAGTATTTAATATTTGATTTTAAGTAATAATTAAGTCGGAGTTTGACTAATATTTTTTTATAATAAATTTGTCAAAAGATTTTTTTTGAATTGCTTAAGTAGGAGATAGCAGTATTAGTTCTCATGGTCTTCTCCGAGCGCCTCAATTCGCCGCTGCGAGTTGCGAGATCGCGCGAGATGCTAGGGCCGCGCCGAGCGGACGATTAACCCGCAATTTAGTATCAGTACCGCGTGTAATCGTTACGCGAGAATATAAACGCTCTTAACGACCGGCTTCCTATCTCCAGCTGTGACGAGTAATCTTTTCTCGGAACTTTCCCCTCGGCATCTTAAACTACCTCGCCGGATCGTTGGCTCTCTCGACGCTTTAAAATCTTTAATCGGCTCGCCAACTTCTCTACATATGGATTCCGCGCGAAGCGCCGCGCGCGTAATTTTCCCTGAACTTTTAGTGAGATAAACCGAACGGGCCATATCTTTTGCGTGACATTTCGCTCGCGACGCCTCGTCTATACGCTCGCGCGTACCATCTGGATTCGCGAAGCTCTCACGAACCCATCGTCAGGTCCATCGAGATAAATGTTTTCACCCTTCAATGACCAACAACGCTTCGTTGTTACCCTTTTGCCGCAGAAAAAGCGTGACTCCAATCTTTTCTCTTCTATTATACCAAGATTGTTCGCGAGATGCATCATGTAACGTTTATTTTAACGATATTTACGTCATGTTCGTTTTATACGATATTTGCTTTATCCAGGAACGAAAATTATAGGAAGAAATACATTTGTTCTAAAAATATCGCAGAAACTCAAAATATTGTGGAAAGAATTCAATTCCTCGTAACGTTAAATCTTTTTCCATATCAAAATAATATTGTTTATATACTTTGAATTTGTTCAAGCCGGAATCGGTTCGTGGAAATTCTCGACGTGGAAATGACGTATTATTTCTAGATATTTTTAGTTTATTTAAGATCGAGTAGACTCGCGGGGATACACACTCGAGGTATAAACTATCGGACGTAGATATAACTTGACGTCTGACGTTTCTTGCTCGGTGAAGATTCGCCTCGCGCTCGAAGAGAAGGAAAGAGCAACTGTTTCCGACTTTGCTTTCTGATGAAAACGTCGTATACGATCGAGTGTCGATTGATCCGTCATTCCGTCATTCGCGACAAAAACACGCCGCGAAGGACCCGGGGTCCGAGATTGACACTCGAGCTTCGATCGGCAGGCTCGCTCGGTCTCCTCGAGCCGACGTATGAAAGATTAATTCACAAAACGGCGACGTTTTGCTCGTTTCGGTCCGTTCTTCGGACCTGCAGGGACGCTGGAAACGGTAAGAAAGGAACGAAGCCCTCGCCGCAGCAGGATAAAGCAGCGGCGGACGCGGCAGGAAGGAAGGCCGCGAGTGCTGTTCCAGGATCGGAATCGAAGATGGCCGAGGGCAATCAGTCGCCGCCAAAGGCGGAGGTCGACGATTCACCCCTCCAGCACGCCATGGATCGCAACAAAGAATGTGAGTACACATCTCTTTTCAATCCCAAAAATATTAATCTAGCATAAGAATTTCAAGAAGTAACCGCCTGTGTCGGCCAGATCTTTTGCCGAGTTTGTTCAGAGAAACAGGTGTTTGAATCTTTTTATTAAGTTCTTCACAGACACAATGTATATATTTTATTTTTTTAAATTATAATATGTAGGTATCATTGATCAGATTGCATATCAATCAATAAAAATAAATGGAAATGATAAAAATCGTCCACGATTATGTACACTTTGTGTACATCAAGTTCCGTATGCCGACATTCGCTATTCCTTCTTGCAATTCGCTTTAACTCTGTCACCGTTTCTCGCGGCGCATCTACTTCCCCCGTTGTAGAAACGGAAGTGTCGCTTCTCGACGTCCGGAATAAATGATGAAAAGACCTAACGGTCACCCGTCGCGACGATCGCTTCCGATCGAATAATCGCGCGCGGGGCATTCGCTATTATTATGCGATGCAGTCCGAGTGCGATGTTGCGTGCTCGTCGTCGCGGTTACACACTGCGATGTTATACCGAGGTACCGAGCACTTCCTCGGAAAAGGCGCCTATAATTGAAGGGGAAGGCGCGCGGTGTGATGGCTCTTTTTAACATTCGCGGGCAACTTGCCATTATCCCACGGCGACTGTAATCATCCGCTCGTTATTCGGCGCATATAGCTCGCTATGCGGCCCTCGATTATCGATTCGGAATCCGGCGATTTTTTATCCAATAAAGAAACGGCTCGGAGCTTTTATCGTCGTGCAAAATGCAGCTCACCGGCCCATTCGCCACTTCCGCTACTACTACTACTACCGGCGCCGGCAATCGGCCGAACGTTCCTCAAGCTTAGATCCCCGTTTTGTATTCGGAACGCGACTTCCCACGGGCAGGATAAAAGTATCAGTCAATACTACCGCTAGTATTTGATATTGTCTTTTTTAAGTGAAAACATAACCGAGTAATCGACCGTATCTCGATAGAAGTGTTTAAATTTTATATAGGAATAATTTTTTATATTGTTATAAATATAATTGTTATAAATATCGAACTTTATATATAATAATTCTCCCACACAGCTTTTAAGAAACTGTAAATTTAACTCAAAAATACTCTTTAAAAATATCTTAGATTAAATCTGAGATGTTCTTGATATACATCGAATAAATGAAACTGATTTTAAAAAGATGACCCGAAAATAAGCGTGTAAATATCACTCGATGCCGCTTTGAAAGCTTCGCGGTGAGTTTCTTCCGCGATGAATCAAACGTGTGCCCAGTTTTTTCATCCACGAATTTCGCGGTGTATAACATATATACGCCGATTCGTCATGGTTGACTTCCTTGTTAAAGTTACTGGCCATCGCGTGCGCAGTCTTTAGAACGTCATTTTGTCGCGTTTATCGATCGCCTTTTTCTGTAATTACTTGCCATCAGACGCTCTTGAGGCGCTCTCCCTTCACGATCTCCGCGAAGAACGCGCAACGAGAGCACACGCAGCACGCCTGAACAACGTGTATAATACGTACCACTTTTAACGAAGAAACACAATATCCCCGTAGACGGCCATGAAAATCAATAACAGCCTTTTGAAACCTTTTTCAAATAAGATTTTAAAAGTCCCGCATTTCGAAGTAGTTTATCATAAGAAACGTAATTCTATAAAATTGAATGTCCATAAAAGCTTAAATAATCATATTAATGTTCGAGATAGCTTTCTTTTACTAAAGGAAAAGCTACGAATTTATTTTAAAACATTTAATAGTAAATTCCTCCAGAATTTCCCGATATTATCACGGGCTGTTTGGTGAACGAATTTCGATCTGTACGTTGCCCGATCACCTGTACGTGTGCACACACTGTGAAGTGTGCGTGCGACTGTCTACGGGAAAGAGACAGAGTCGGGCATTCGTGCAGACAGGTAGGTGCAGATTCGCGTGTGAGGGCCGTGTACACGCGTGTATATGTATAATATACACACGAGAGACAGGAGGCGTGCCTATTTATAACGGTGATATCATCGCCGATTACCTACGCTTTCGCGTGGACAATCGTAAATTCTCGTAGCAGAAGGGTGTGATGCGTTACCAAACTCCTCGCGATCTTTCTTTTTGTTTCTTTTTTTATTATCAGTATGTAATACATGTATAATTTTTTGTGACTATTATCTCTATTTCTTCGATATCTCAATCACACAAATTGAATATAATTAAAAGAGATATCTTGAATAATCGAAAACTAAATCTTCCTTGTCTAAGAACATCCTTTCTTACTGACTTTCACGAACTATAATTTAATATCAGATCATAGTTGCAATATTTTAAATTAAGTAAATAAAAATTATATAATGAAAGGAAAATAAAAGAAAACTTGGAAAAAATAAATTTATTATCTCTTATTATTATATTTTTTATTAGTATATTGCAAGTAATGTTGACTCACAACGGTAAGATCATTAATTAAACAAATTATATTCTTTACTTAATTCATATCTATGATCGATTCTCCATTATCCGTATTCTCGTCGATTTATTTCTTAATTGTTTTTCTTTATTTCTCTGAGTTTGCGCGATTTACATAACTTACGAAATTTCAAGTTAGGTCGAAAAGGTAAAGATGTGTCTACACTCCCAATCGTATCTCTATTTCGTAGCGCAGCAAAGCGACGTAATGAATCTCTTAACCGCTCAGTCGCGGGTGTATCGCGTGTACTTGAAACGCGAAAGTACGCCGGTCGCCGATTATGCCGAGCTAATTATCGCCGGCGTATCTCGCCCTAAACGACGACGATGCATGCACTCGTTATACCGGTGCGCGAATTTGCGCGCTCGTTTCGTAATGGGAAATTATGTCAGAATTATGCGCCGTGCATGCACTCGGAGAGGCCTCCTTTCCATCCTGCAAAATCGATAACCTCGAGTAGCTCCGCGACTGCTTAATGAGACATCATTATTAATAAAATATCTCACGCGACGAGCTCGTTTAGTCATTACAAAAACTAACGCGTTTCTCTTCTTTTTTTTGACAACAGCATGGAGATTGCGAACGATCAATTATAACGCTCTCGCTATTGTAGATTCTTCAAAGTTGAGTCCTCTTTTAAATTCATAAGCACTTGTTAAAAGTTTTTAGTTATATATTTATGTACTTTATTTATTTTTAAATTCTCCGAAAGCAAGAAATACTTCATGAATAAAAACATATTATATCTTTAACCTATATTTATTAAACGATACCATAAATTAGCTTGCATTTAAGATTTCAAAATAGTTGCTCTGCATTTAAAGATTGTGAAATTCTAATTCTAAATTCGCCAGTGAACGACGAGAAAAGCGAAAGTGCGAAGCATTTTCGTCGAAAACAAATGAAACGAATCGCGCGGAAACGAATTTCAAGACGAATTTCGTGCACTAATTGACGCCAGTGATAATTAGTACGAGACGTTTCGTGGAATTCCGTGTAATTAAAAGGAAGATCCAGCTTCCTCTTCTCCGTAATCCCGCATCGCGATGGCGGAGACCATGCCGATCGTTACGCTTATCTGCTCCGTATCTGTACGAGCATCGGCACGATATGAACGACAAATATATCTTAAATGCGCGCGCGAGCGTCTTAGGAGAACTTTACCAATATTCAGTCTCGCTTCTTACCTTCCGTACGGGTACCGCGCGGCGACCTTCGTATCGTTGCATTTATCAAGGCGGCGATACATGGCCGACGGGTACTAGTTAGCGTACCGAAGAAAAATGTGTTATTAAGATAAGACGCTCTCGGCGATTTATGGCAACAGTTACGTACAGCTACAAAGATAGTTCCGTACTGTTAACTACGCATGTTTTTTTACGTTTTCTGATTCTTGTCTCTGTACACGTTAACCTCTGATGAAGATTAGATAGTCACATCAAGTAGCAAATTATGCTCGAATTATGGACCGTGATACTCCGCATCCACTTTTTATTGATTGTTGTTCGCTACTGACGCGCGGTGTCTCCTTGTATAAGCGAGTTAACTTAACAAGACGGATTTACGGGGTCGTGTCTTTGATGCCGAGCGGTGGATTAAAATCTAGAAAAACCGATTCGATCAGCACGTACCCGCCGTTCGCGCTTTTTCATCTAAACCGTCCGAAAGCGCCGCGCGCATTACCGCGGCGAGTCGACCCGGTTTGCGGATACACGGTGCGCCTTTACTGGATTTAATTATATGACCGCTCTCGTTGGTGACCACTTTGAAAAGTCCACCGGCGGCCAATTACGCGACTCTGCGAAAACCGCGCGTTTTTCATCGCGCCGCGTAAACGGCCCCCCTATATACGCAACACAATCGCTCGATTTTCGAGGATCCGCGGTAGCGACCAACGATGACGACAGCGATGACGGTGAAATTAATTAAATGAAAAGCAAGATCGTAACTCTCGGCTTTTGTCGGACCGTAAAACCGGGCCAGCAACGCACTTTTACGGTCTCACCGAGACGCGAGGCGATCCTGAAAACATGCTCGTCACCGAAGTTAACCCACTTCGTATGCCTGCAACCCTCCGGGTGAAGTGTTTTGCCGAACAGGCGTTGCGTGAGTCCTTTAAGAATTTTAATGACAGACTGTGCCTCTTTCTTCGATAATTTCAATAATAACTTGGTTTACTGCTTTTTTATTCTATTTCAGGCCCGTATTTCATATTTTCGTTAATCTCAGTTATACTATTAGTATAACAAGATAAAAAGAAACAAAATTTTATATGTTTTTACTATTTTCGTCAAATATAGACTTTTCACAAAGCGGGGTCGATCTTGTATTTCGACTGTAAACGCGCGTGATTTTCCCGTCGTGGAAGGATCGATCTCCGGCGTCATACTTATAAATAAATCGTGCTTTATCGTTGCATATTCATACGCGCACCGTGGTGCCCCGGGTACTCGTGGGCGAACCGGATCGGGATATGTCGAATCGGAGTCGTTCCGTGGCCAGAAAGTATGCATTGAAATCGGCGAGTGTGCC